GTGAGTACCGCCGCCCCGTCCCCGCCGGCTGCGCGCCGCACCCCTCGCTCATCCCGCGCCCCTCTCTCTCCCGCCCGCTTTTGTCTCCCACAGGCTGTTGCACTTGCTGGTTCTCTGCCTCCAAGCCCAGGTAAGGCGCACTGCGCGAAGGCGGGGGTCGGGGGCCTGCGGGGGACGCGGGCTGGCCAGGTCCGGCAAGGGCAGGAGGACTGATTCTGCGGGCAGCGATGTAGGGCTGGAAGGAACCTTAGAAATCCAATCCCGAACTACCCCGAATTGGGAGCTAAGGAACAGAGAGGTAGCACTCTACTCAAGGTCACACAGCCAGTTAGTAGCGAGGCTAAATCTCAAGGTCTCCAAGTCCAGCGCTGTCTCCCACGCATCCTAGCCAGATTGGGGTGGATGGGGACCACTACCACGGGCAGCCACACCCGGCCGCCGAGGAGGGGACTGCGCCGGGCTTTCGTTGTCAGAAGTCCGGGTGACTGCCACAGAGACCCTCTCCATGGCTCTCGGGGGAGGCTTGTGGCAGGTCTGGCTGAAAGATCAGGTGCCTAGGTCCTCTGCGCTCTCAACATTTGCTCCGTAAATTTGTCTTTATAAATGTCAGGGGCCAGGCAGAGCTGCCTCCCTACTTAAAAGCGCCCTGCTCTTCTAGGAAGGCCCGGGCGGGGGGCCTGCGCTGGGCAGGGAGCTGGCTTCCCTGTTCCGAGCTGGCCGCGAGTCCCAGGGTGTTTCCCAACAGGTGGGTCCAGATCTTTCCCCAATCCTGGGGCTCGTCTATACTAGGCTGGGTCTGCCTGGTTTTCCCGGGTGTGGGGTGGTGGCCTGAGCTGGCATGGTGGGGGGACCCCTAACCCCTGCCGGCTGCCTGGGGCAGTGGAGGGGGGTGCAGGGCGATGGGGGCCACTCGGGCCCCTGGGCAGAGTAGCATTATAATGGCGTGTTGTGTATTTTTCAATTTCCTAAAGGTAACTGTTCAGTCCTCACCTAATTTTACACAGCATGTGAGGGAGCAGAGCCTGGTGACGGATCAGCTCAGCCGCCGCCTCATCCGGACCTACCAGCTCTACAGCCGCACCAGCGGGAAGCACGTGCAGGTCCTGGCCAACAAGCGCATCAACGCCATGGCAGAAGACGGGGATCCCTTCGGTAAGGCGAGCTGCACTGCGGCAGGGTAAAGGTAGCTTGTGGAACATGCCTGCTTCCCCAGGCTGGCCTGGTGTGACTGGACTCACCAGCCCCGTCTGTGCCGGCCAGGGGTCTGAATGCTCCCAGCTCAGAAGGCAAGGAGTTAAGGCAAAAAAGCATTTTGAGGGTCAGCTGGAGAAGAGAGGGCTGGGGAAGGGACCTTGGGGAGTACTTGGCCCACAGGTGCCCCTTCTTGCCCAGCAGATGAATGAATCCAGGAATTTCCCTTTATACCTCCCCCTTTCATACACCTCTACCCAGCTGCAGGTGGAGGCAGAGGGTTCAGGGGGGAGGAGGCCCAGGTTTAAGGGAAGCACTTGAAAGAGGATATGTCGCCAGGGCCCACAAATGGAGAGTGGGAAAGAGAAGGGAGAGAAGTCTCCCCAACTCTTCCAGCTTGGAGGGGGTGTTGCTGTGAACCTTTAAATGCTTTTATCAGAAGGGCCAATTACACATGGGGACTAGGCTTCGGAAGGGGCCCTCCCTGCCGCATTCACCCAGGAACCCAGGCGGTCTGTCAGAGCAGAGCCCTGGCTCCCAGGTGGGGTGGTGAGTACAGGGAGCTACTGCGGGGTGGAGAGGCTGGGGACTGATTGATTTCTAAAACATTCAATATTCCTATCTTGAAATGAGGCCAATTTCCAGAGTCCTGGATGTACCAAGAGAAAAGCAAGCCCTCTGGGCGGCTGGTGTTGTTTTTAGAGAGCGATTATTGTGAGTTTAAAAACCTTTAAATAATGACCAAGTTAAACAAGCATGAAAGGAGAGGGGAAGACTCTATTAAAATGTAATAAAAAGGTGAGGCATTTTAAGAGCTAAGAAGAAAAATGAAGAATGATATAAAACAGAAAAAGAAAAAGCCTTTTTTCAGATGTGGAGTTTGAAAAGAATTGCAAGTCTGTAAATGTTAAAAAAGAGGTTCAAGATTGTTCTCTATGAATCTCTGGAGAGACCCCCGCGTCTGGCAGAGCGATTAAAACTCTTCTTACTTTCACCTTTTTTAACATTTCCTGAATACTTTCTCCTCTTCTCGAGCCAGTTTGGGGGATCGAGTATGTCTCGCTGCATTTTTTCTGCGTCGACATTGCTGACTTCCCTTCAAAGCTGGAGAAGGAGACATAATTTTCCTGGGATAAATCTGTCACTGGGTGGAAGAATAGGTTTGAAAATGTTAAGCTTTCCAAAAGCCCAGTCGGGAAAGCCGCTGTTAACTGTGGCCCCAGCTCCCCAGATCCATCCAGGAAAGAGAGTGTGGGCTCTTGGCAGTGGGGGTGGGGGCGGCCTGCCTGGTGGCCCAGCTCCCCCGCTGGGCTGGCAGGGCCAGCCTACTGTCCCTTTGTCCCTCCGAACTGGCTGCTAGCTGCCCTTCTCAGCTTCCAAGGGAAGGGAACGAATACCTGGCTCCTTCTGTGTTTGCTCCATTGGAGCAAATGGTCCAGATCTTTGGGTTTGGGGAAGGGAAGAAGAGGCTAAGTTGGCCCTGGAGGATCTCATCTTCAGACATCAGAGGTCTGATGCTCCCGTCTGTCCTTACAGTATAGGCTTCCCAGGCTTCTTGGGCCCTGCCTGCCCAGCAGGCGTAAGAGCTGGAAGGCCCAAGAGCAGAAGCTTAAGGTGTGCAGCCAGGATGGGAAGAGTCTGGGAGAGAACAGCAGAGAGGTGCCAGCTGCTTCCTTATAGGTCCCAGGAAGGGACAAAGGGGCCTACTCCATCACTATCTGCCCTATTTGTCCAGAATCCCCTGAGTGGGATCCTCTCTTGGTCTTCTCATGTCATTGTCCTTCCTGGCCCTTAAAAGCAGCTGCTCCTTGCTCTGGAAGGCAGACCAGGAGAGGGATGAGCAGACTGGCTGGGTCCAAGAGGAGGTGGGTGGGAGGAGAGGTGACAGCTGCATTTCCCGAGCTGACTTGGAGCCAGCCTGGGGACTTGGCCACTGGGTCCCAGCTCTTTGCTTATGTGAAGGGGCGGAGGTTGTGGGGTGGGGGAGGGAGGTAGTCACAGGCTGGGCATTTTGAGGATTGTCTTGCTTACCTTGGTGCCCATACCCCCCATTAGTTTCAGGGACAGAGAAGGTGCCTCCTTGTCAGGGCAGGCTGGGAGGTGGCTCTGGGAGTCCCAGACTGCTTTCTCAAGGAGGGAAGAGGCTGGGCTCTGCAGTAAGGAGGGCAAGAGACCCAGCTCCTTCTGTCCCATCCCAAAGGGCTAAGTCAGCCCTCACTCCCTTCTTGGGGACAGCCTCAAAGGGAGGAGTTTTGCAGAGAGTGGACAGGGATAAGTTTCTGTGGCGAGTTGGCTGTCTGAGGGGAGGAGGGAGGGGGAAGAAGGCACAGAATTCATCTCCCTGTCTCCTGGTTTCCCAGACTGCGAGGCGAGCACACCAAATTTTTCCCCTCCTCACCCACAGAAAGGGTTTGGTCACTGGGGTGATAAGCCCAGTAAGTGATGGAGGTTGAAAGAAGAAAGACCATCGAGTTGTTAATTTCTGGACTCTGGGACTGGGGATGTCAGTGACTGAGAAGCATGGGGAAGAGGCAGAACCCTCCCAGCTGGTGTCTGAGTTTTGAGAAGGCAGCCGGCTAGGGGCCGTGTTAGAGAGAGCTATCGCATCCCTGTTACCTTCTCAGCGGAGTAAAGGTGGGGGTAGAGGGGGTGGCCAGGGCTGTGAGTTAGAACCTGAGGTACCAGAAACAGGAGAGAATGCTTTTACATTTGGCTTCAGGACTGGAGGTCACCACTGCACCCAGATGTTTGTAATGATCTGTGAGGCATGTACACATCATATTTTGAGTTGGAAGGATCCTTAGAGATCTTTCCATTGGCAAGAGAACTCTAGTCATGAAGCCTCAACATAAAAGTCATTATAGTCTGGCTTTAGAGAGGGTCTTTACAATTTGATGGCCCCAAGACTCCTCTGCAGAACCAGTTGGTACACTATGATTTCATCCATTCCCCTCTGTAAACTTAGATGAGGCACCGGAGGCCCAGAAAGTGGACTTGACCTTTCCCAGGGTTGCACAGCATACTAGTAGCTGGGCTGGGGCTGAAGCCCACGTCTTAGGTACCTGGCTCTTGGAGCAGTTGATGCTGAGATGTGACAAGTCTGTGGGCCAGATGCTATGAGGACATGGAACAGTGAGGGTCAGGGAGCTTCCAATAACCTCCCCACTCTGTTCCCGACAGCAAAGCTCATTGTGGAGACAGATACCTTTGGGAGCCGGGTTCGAGTCCGAGGAGCTGAGACGGGCCTCTACATCTGCATGAACAAGAAGGGGAAGCTGATTGCCAAGGTGAGACCCCAGAAGGAATGAGGAGCCCCTGCAGCCTGGGGAGCAGGCTGGGCTGGTTGAGCTCCTCTAGGATCTCAACAAGGTAGGCAGAGAGACACAGGGACACCTTGGGGTTATCTAATGATTTGAAGGGGGAGGTGAGGGAGAAGGAAAATGCTTGAGAGATGAAAAGCTATAGAGGCAAAGGAGGAAGAAGGAAGGCTAAGGAAGGGGCTAGGGGGAGTTGGTAAATTCCATATATCTTTTTAACAAATCGCCAAATTGCTTTGCTATTATGTCCAATTACATGGTACCAGCATTTGGAATGTTCAGTAAGCCGCAGGCTCAGCCTCTCGGCCCAGCTCTAAAACGGCCCCATTAGTCACGGCTCCTCTCCAGCCTCAAGCTCCCTGCTTGCTGGGCTTCTGGGGCTCAGCTTCTCCTCGAAGGCCTCCCCTCCCCCATAGGGTGGCAGCCCTGGGGCCCCACAGCCGCAATCCTGAGGGGCTGATGGAGGCAGGTGGGGAAACGGGTACTAGCAGCTCTGGACAGACTGGTGGGCAGGAGGCCAGGGCAGGCAGGGTCTGGGGCCCTTCTCTGCCTCTCTGTGTTGGGGCCCAGCCCCTCTGTAGACGGCCATGTGTCACTGCTGCCCAGGAGGACAGGAAGTTGCCGGGTGGGCTGCGGGCTGTGAGGGATTAGAGAGCGGGTGCCCAGGCAGGGGGTGGGGCTGCAGCTCCTGCCTACCCTGCCATCTGCTGGGGTGCCCACCTGCTGTCTGGGGCCGCCTGCCCTCTGCCTCTGTTGGGGGGGTGCTCCGGACAGAGCCCAGTAACGCCTTGTCTGCACCCCACCCCCACCCCCATCTGCAGAGCAACGGCAAAGGCAAGGATTGTGTTTTCACGGAGATCGTCCTGGAGAACAACTACACGGCCCTGCAGAACGCCAAGTACGAGGGCTGGTACATGGCCTTCACCCGCAAGGGCCGGCCCCGCAAGGGCTCCAAGACGCGGCAGCACCAGCGCGAGGTCCACTTCATGAAGCGGCTGCCCCGCGGCCACCACACCACCGAGCAGAGCCTGCGCTTCGAGTTTCTCAACTACCCGCCCTTCACGCGCAGCTTGCGCGGCAGCCAGAGGACTTGGGCCCCGGAGCCCCGATAGGCTAGGCGCCTGCCCGGCCCCGTCCGCAGCTCCCAGCGCGTAGATTTCCATCTCCAGGGAGCACAAACAGAAACTCAAGCAAGATGAGGTCTGCGCTACTGAAGGCTGGGGAGGAGCTGGGGGAACCCCGAGTTTTAGTTGTTGATAATTGTTTGCTGTTGGGTTTTTTGTTTTTTTGTTTTTTTTTAAACAAAAGAGAGGCTCTATTTTTGTAATCCACTTGGCTGTGGTGTCTTCTTAACTCTTAGGAAGGCCGGTTAGTGGCCAAGACTGGGAATGGGGCAGAGGTGGGGCGGGGGTTGTTCCCTGGGAGTGGGGGGCTTTTTTTTCCAGTCTCGGAAAGGTGCTCTGAACGCCAGCACCTGCAGGGCAAGCTGGCCAGGCAGCCAGGGACTCCAGGTGGGGGTAGGGAGGAAAGGGTTAGGACTTAGGTCAGGTGTTTTAAAGGGGGGTGTCAGTGGGGGTAGGTTGAGTATTAGTTGCTATTAAATGACCGAAGTATTTATTTAACTTGCATATTACAAATGTGTGTTGAAGAGTGAGTCCTGCTACCGCCAGGCCCCTCCCTCTGTCCTGCCCCAACTGAGTGGGGGTGGCTGGGAGATGAAGCAAATCAGGCAAAGCTCTGACTGTAGCCTTCAATTTAAGGAGTCGTACCTGTCAGCCATACCCATCATTGCTGCTGGAGGGGTTTTCCCGGGAGGACAGAAGCAGGGAAAGGAGCAAGAGGAGGCTCTTAACTGGTCTTGGGAGCTCGCAGACATGGACTTCTGAGCTTTTAACATGAGTTGTTGCTAACACTTCCCCAGGCCACCTCTGGACCAAAAAGGATGACTCTGCTAGGACCAGAGCTCCAGTCATGGATACAATGAGTCTAAAAAAGTGCCTCTCTGTGTGTGCCGAGGTCTGTGTGGGAAACAGATGGAAGATGCCAGAGCTGGTTCTTTCTCCATGGATACAAAGAATCTAAAAAAATGCCTCTCTGTGTGTGCCGAGGTCTGTGTGGGAAACAGATGGAAGATGCCAGAGCTGGTTCTTTCTATCTGGCTCTAGAAAATGAAAGAAAAGAGCAGCTACCAGGGTCTAAGGTGGGGGTATGTCAAAGGGGGGACCTCCAAGGCTGGTGTTGACAGTTGTGACATGGAACAAGTGCTAACTTTGGGAGATCGGGTTAGAGAGCTGTGAGTAGAAGGTGCTGAGCTCAGGTGCTGCAGAAGAGTCCAGGGGACTGTGGTCCAGGGGGAGGCTGCTGCCTTTGGAGACATGGGGCCTAGAGGGAGAGGAATTGAGCATGGGTGGGAAGGGAAGGTCACAGGCCAAGAGTCGGACTCAGGCTGGTAGAGCAGCTCATGGTGTGGGCAAGAGGACTGGGCCACGGTAGGTGGAGGGGTGTGTGTTTGGATGTAGATGGTGACACTGGCATCATACCACGGCATGGTATGGTATGATGGAAAGCCCAAGCCCAAAGGAGCAGATCTTCTGAGGGCAGAGCTGGCCCAGTCTTTATAACCAAGACCTCCCATTCTGGTTGCATCTGTTGCCTTCTTTGAGGGTGCCCCTGGACTGGTCCCACAGCCCAGTTCTTGGGCCAATCCAGAAACATCTTTTCTCTGGGCCTCTGTTCTTTGAAATGCCTTCTTTGGGAGGGGGGCACCCTATGGCTTCCTAACCATGTGAGCCTCTCAGAGTTGCAGCTACAAGTCTCAGGCTCAGGTCGTCCAGGTGGATCTGGAATTCTAGGGCTCAGTGGGAAGCTTTAGAGTAGAGAGATTAGGGATAGCCTGGAGTCTGTCTATGCCACCTCTTCTGGCCTGCTATGGGGGTGAGGAACTCTGGATAGAGTACGTTTCTCCTGGTTCGTGGACACTGGGGATGTGGGGAGGGGGCTCTAGACATCTCTCTTCCAGCTCCCCCAGCTCTTAGTGCCTCCTCCTCTGCTCCATCCTCTCCCCTCCCCCTTTAATTAATTCTGGGTGAGCAGCCTGGCTTTATTGTGCAAGGAGCTAGGGTCTCACTGTGGGAAAAGTCACACCTTCTGAGCAGCTTCTGATGCCATGCAAATGAAGAGACCGTCCAGGAAACGCTTTCATCTGCAGGGCTGCCTGTCCAGCCCCCAGCCCAGTAATTACCCATGTTTCATTTGTTTGAGAGCAATTCCTGAGGGAAGCCACAGGATAGAAGGGAGTCTGAGGTAGGGTGGAATGTCAGACTCTCTCTGCCTGTGATCCTGGCCACAAAGTGGGGCCACGCTGGGCCAGTGCTGGTCACTGGCTTAGGCCAAAGCTACTCCTGAAGCCCCCAGGCTGGTGATGACTGAGTACACCAGGGTGATGGGGTGGAACTGTGCCATGGTTATGATGAGGGAGAAGAGGTGGGCCGTCCAGAGAGCTGGACCCGCCTAACAGAGAAGGGGGAGATGACTGATCAGGGTAGGGAGGGGAGTAGAGATAGATAGGATAGTGGGTATCTGGTCCATGAGGCTGCCTGAGGCTTTGAGAAGGGGTTGACTCCCAGCAGAACCCCAGGCCAGGGACCTATGGGGGCAGAGCCCAGAGCAGTGGGGCTAGGCTGGGCTAGAGCACCCACCACCTTGTTTATCTTTGAGTTGCTGCCTCCACAGAGCCCTTGCTAATGGGGTTTTACAGCCCACTCAAGCTGCAACTGGCCAAGAATCAATCATTACCGGCACTTAGTGGTTTGATAGTTAACAGCCTGAACTGAAGCCAAACTGGTTGTTAACTGTGATAACAACTGATTTCAAGGGGTTATTGCCGGCCCAATATGCTCAGACCATTTATTTCGGGAAAACAAGCAGGGAGCTGTTGCAAGGCCCAGAAAAGGGAGGAGGGCTGGGATTTCCTCAGCCAAAAGGCCTGCTACTCTGTCTTGGAGTGGGTGCTGGCTGTGAGGGCCTTAGTGGCCGGCTGAGGTCTACAAGAAGGCTTGACCTCCCAGAACTCATTGAAGACCAGTGTGCGGCCGAGTGATCCACACGGAAGGCCCTCTCCACTCCTCCCTTCTCCGTTCTTACCTCTTCCTCATTCCCCACCTCCCCTTTTTCTTTTCTTCTAGCAGCACTTCCCATGAGGCCCTCGAGGAACTGATCCTCCTCCCTGGATGAGGAGGATCCAGGGCCTACTGGCCAGGTCTATTTGTCCCCACTCAGCAGTTGGAGTTGGACCCCTCACCCATTCTTCCCTCACCAGGGCTCCAAGTTCAAGCCAGAACCTTGCCTCTCATTTCAAAGCCAGCGATGATTCCACCCAAGCCTCGACGAGAAAGGAGTGAGAGTTCTCTCACTCTACCAAGTCCTGTCCAACCCTGTCTTCTACTCTCAGCCAAATGGCAGCAGGAGGGCTATGACCAAGCATCATTCTAGAATTCTGCTACAGCAAAGGACCAGGAGTTCTCTGTTATCTACAGATAGACAATGTGAGGCTCAGAAGTCACATAGCTAGTGCCAAAGCTAGTATAAAAATTAAGTCTTAATTCCCAGACCCAGGCTGCCTCTTGAGGATTGTGGGTCTTTTCCTAATTCCATTAATTCATTTACTGTTTATCAAGTGCCTATCAGGTGCCAGGATATGTTCTGGGTAGAGGGGACAAAGCAGGAAATAGGAGACAAAGCCCTGTCATTACAGAGCTTGTAGTCTAGTGTAGGGGGTGGATGGGTACAGAACAAACTGTATAAAAAAGCAGACACTAACAATCACCATAGAGAAAGATTCAGAGAAGGGAATGAATGTGAAAGGTGGAGTAGAGTAGTAACAATTTTAAATAGGCTGGTCAAAGGAGGCCTCACTGAAAACTTAATGCTGGAGCACACAGCTGACTGAGGTAAGGCAGTCAGATATCTGGGGGAGGGGCCGTCAGGTAGAAGGAACAGCAAGTGCAAAGCCTTACTGCATTAGGGGAAGAGGAAGGAGGCCAGTGTGGCTGGAACCAAGTGAAGGGAGGTTATGAGTGTGTGTGTGTGTGTGTGTATGTATGTATGTGTGTGTTTAGTGTGTGTGTAGTGGGGGGTTAGGGGGTGAATGGGACACAGAGAATAATGGAAGCTGAAGTGAGGCTAGAGAGATAGAAGGTGTGGGGATGTAGTGGGGCAGATCTTGTAGGGTCATACAAATGACTTCAGTTTTGACGCTGAATGAGACAGCAGACTATTGGGGGATTTTGAGCAGTAGAGTGACATGATCTGAATTAAGTTTTGACGAGATTACTTTGGTTGCTGTGTTGAGAATAGACAGGAGGATGGCCAGGGAAACCAGTTATGAAGTCATTGTAATAATCTAGGCAAGAGATTATAGTGGATTAGAGGTGGTGAGAAGAGATTGGAATTTTGGAGATTTTTTTGCCGGTAGAGATGACAGGATTTGCTGATGGATTTGAATGTGGGCTTCGAGAGAAAGAGAGTTGAGGGGTTCCCAAGATCACTAGCCTGAGACCCTGAAAGGATGGAGGGGCCATTTACTGACATGAAGATTCCAGGAGGGGCAGATTTTGAGGGAAATTTAGTTTTTGCCATGTTAAGTCTGAGCTCACTAAATAAACATACAAGTGGATATGTTGAGTAGGAATTTGTGTATGAGTCTGGAATTCAGGGGCGAGGTCTAGTGTGAAGATACAAATTTGGGAATATTCAGCACACAGGTAATTTCTAAAGCCAGAGGATGGAATGGATTCCCTAGGGAGTAAGAGATTCTCTAGTAATGGATTCTCTAGTAAGCATAGCTAGAAAACAGAAGAGCTCCAAACCTGAGCCTTGGTGTACTCCAAACATTTAGAGGTCAGGGTGAAGGGGGGAACCAGCACAGAAGGTTGAGAAAGTGTGGCCACGAGATAGGTGGGAAGAAAATTAGTAGAGTGTAGTGATCTGATGATATAGGGAAAAGAATAGTTTCTTAGCCTGAAGATTTTAAGTGGGGTTAGGGAAACGTTTTATTGTCATCAACTGTCTCTTCTCCCTACTGCCACCAACTCCAGGGCCAAGAGGAAGTGGCCAACAAACAGGGTTAATTTAATATGGGAGTCTCCTGACTCTTCTCTCAGAGTCGCCCTGCCTCTCTCCCTGCTGCCTTTACCTCCAGAACATAGCTCAAGTCCAATCCATCTGCGCTTCTACTTATCGACTGCCACCCTACTCCAAGCCATCTTTAGCTCTTGTCTGGCTTATGGCAACAGCCCCCTAACTGCTCTCC